GTTAAGGAAAACTGGATGTCAAAGTATCCACTAAAGTGAAGGGGCCAGAGGCTGGCTATGTTGCCACACCCATTGTAATGGTCCAGGCTGGCATGGCACTTTTGAAGGACAAGAGTTCACTTTCTTCAAAAGGAGGTGTCTATTCTCCTGGGGCTGCGTTCTCCAAAACAAATCTGATTGACAGACCCAACAAGCATGGGATTGAGTTCTCTGTTATTAGCAAACCCCTAGTCTGAAAAATCTTCTCTGAAGAGACAGCATGACCAGGAAACCTTTGTGTAGTACTTGTAGACCAAAAATAACAACAAAAACTTAAAATTGTTGCTAAGTTTAGTAAAATATTTGCATTCTTAAAAAAGTTAATTTGTGTAATGTAACTATATAAACATAATGTTGTAAGTAAATTTCTGGTTTGTAAGGTAACTCTTTTATTCACCTCTACCTTCTACGTTTTATTTTTCAGTGATTGGTTGGGGGGAGGGGGCGCCAAAATAATGTTTGCTTACCATTGAAAATTACCTAGGGCCGGCTCATGTTGGACACTTCTGGGCACCACAATTCAAGAGAGATATTGACAAGCTGGAATGTGTCCAGAGGAGGGCGACTAAAATGATCAAGGTCTGGAGAACAAGCCCTATGAGGAGCGGCTTAAGGAGCTGGGCATGTTTAGCCTGAAGAAGAGAAGGCTGAGAGGAGATATGATAGCCATGTATAAATATGTGAGAGGAAGCCACAGGGAGGAGGGAGCAAGCTTGTTTTCTGCTTCCTTGGAGACTAGGACGCGGAAGAATGGCTTCAAACTACAAGAAAGGAGATTTCATCTGAACATGAGGAAGAACTTCCTGACTGTGAGAGCCGTTCAGCAGTGGAACTCTCTGCCCCGGAGTGTGGTGGAGGCTCCTTCTTTGGAAGCTTTTAAACAGAGGCTGGATGGCCATCTGTCAGGGTGATTTGAATGCAATATTCCTGCTTCTTGGCAGGGGGTTGGACTGGATGGCCCATGAGGTCTCTTCCAACTCTTTGATTCTATGATTCTATGATTCTAAAGCATTTCTCCATAGGTCCAAATGTGACTCTGGAGTAAGTCAAACTCCCCACTGACACTGATGAAATTAATAATAGGAAAACCCTTGGAAAAGAAGCTTAGGTCTGACTGGATATTTCTATCTTGTACAATAGATGTCAGCTTTTCTTTAAGTGCCATTTTTAATGAGACAGTCAGCTTTTTCCAAGTGTGAACTATTAAGTCTTATAGCAAACCCAAACAAAAACGTTATAAGATATTTATTATTTAATGTTTCACAGTTGTCACAAAAGATGGAAATAAGTCTTCCTTTGGGACCAACAGAAACTGTCTGGTTTCGAATTTGACATATTTTTAGAAAAATATCCTCTCAAAATTCAGAAACACTGGATTGTTGTCCCAAATTTAATGTTCAAGGGACAAACAAGCCATGTTGCTTGGAGCATCCCAAAATCTCAAAGGGTGACTAATACTTCATTGTATATTAATCAATAACAATAACTTCCTGTTCATATTAATATATTTAGAAACGTCCCCAAACTGGAAAAATGTGTTCCATCAAATGCTTTTCTTTTTTAATTGGTTTTATTATGCATTTGTGTTAGAAATCAAAGATACCCTCATTTCAAATCTGATTATTAATCCGTTATGCATAATTATATTTTGACAGAACATTGCAAGGTTATAAATCAGAAAGGTGAAACACTTTAAAAATACAGAAAGAACTTCATTAATTAAATAAAATATAATTGGATTCCCAAAACAGCTACAAATATATTGACTCTGATCATAGGTTTTAAGCTTTTGTGACATTAACTGGAAAACAGTATTTTTCTTTCCTGTAAGGTTCACAATGACGAACTTAACTTTTGTTGAAATAGAGGTTAAAACAATGACCCTCATAATGACCTATAATAATAATAAAAATGCCAGCCTTCAAAGGCATTAAATAATTATGGGGGATTGTGAGGGCCATTGTCTCAACCTCTGTTTCAACAGCAGTTAAGTGCACCTTCTGTGAACCTTCTTGGATGATATCTCTAGGGAAGAAATAGATTTTAGGGAATCCATGAAGACTGCTGTTGAAAAGATAGCCCACCTTGTTTCCTCATGTACTCTGTAATATCTAATGAAATTCAATATGGTAACAACGTCACACATTCCTCTACCTTTACAAGAGTAACAAGTGATGTTGAAGAGAGATGAAATTAAGGACCTCATCACATTTGCCATTGGAATCACCATGGATCGTAGGAAATCTGGCAGTGCCTGGTGGTGCCGTACACCGGTTCTGCTTTAGTATTGCCATAGAGCCCCTCTGGATGCAGATGCACATCATGGAATGGAAGCCAGTGGGCTCCCTGGCAAAACCAAAAAGAAACTGGCATACACTACTGAATTATAGCCCATCTGATGAGTAACTGTGTCACATGTCAGTATACTCTGGTCATTGCAGAAGAAGGAGGGGAGTGACCAAGGTTTTTCTAGGGGCTTTTCTACGTAGGCTGAATAGTCCCCAGTGACTGTGAAGTTGCTCTTGGCTTCATGATGTCCAGGAATTTCCAGTCCTTATCACGAGTAGGTTCATCCAGTTTAGCCCCACATCAGGAAAGTCATGGAATACTCCAGAGTTTGGCCGAAACTATGAAGCAACCTCCACATTTTGGATACTATGTGGACATCCCAACCGGTTCCAATACAGACTCATCAGACAGAAGAAAGGGGGCTCATGTTTATTTATTTATTTACTTGCCATATTTATGCCCCAGCTTTCTCAACCCTGTAGGGTTTCAAAGCAGCTTACGTATATAGGAAATGATTTGATGTCATGTAAATGTACATACAGTAAAATAAACATATACATTAAAACAGTCATGAAAAACAAATCAAACCTTAAAACACTTATTACAATCATGTTATCCAAAATCATAATCCATGGCTGTTCCAAATTATAATTGCACTATTCTATATTCTTGAGTGGGATTATTGACCAAATGCTTGATCCCACATCCACGTCCTTATTGCCAGAGAGTCATGTTGTCATTGCCAGAGAGACACAGAGCTCCAGTAAAGCCGCTGGTTGGTGCAGGCTGCCCATGGTGACATCAGCAGAGGTACCCCTGCATTCAGGGAGAAAGAGGGAGGTATCCCCCATTTCATCACCGTAAAAGTCAACCATTTTATACAAATTTTGAGTAATGTGTGCATTGCACATTTTTCCATTTTGCCTGTTGACTAAATCATGTTTTTTTCAAAGTTTTCAAATGCCCATTTCTTTTTCTTTATTAAAATTCATCACAGGGCTCAGAAAAATATTGATTTTCAAGACAATATTATTTTTCCCCATGTCTAGTTGAGACATCCTAAATAGATATTTTATATATGTAAATATGACATAATGAATTTATTTTTCACCTGTGTTGACAGTACTACTTTTGTTGTTTTATATTACCTAGGTACACACTTATGGGCAGCGGGGGGGGGGGGGGGGTTCCTGCAGCTCAAAGCCTGGATTGAAAACTCTCAACGGTCCTGTTCTAGCAGCTGCCTTGAATATATTCTCACAGTTCCCCATGATTAAGCATTTCAGTACAGATGCATTTCTTTCAGCTCCATTTGAGCATTACTGTCAGGAATACTTAGGTCGACAATCACACCAACAAGATCTCATTATGGCAGCAACATATGTTATGTCAGTATTCCAGCTCTACTAAAATGTGAATTTTAGGATTTGCACAGGCTGAAACGCTGGGATTAGAATTACTGTAAGAATTAGGACATGGCTATTGCCAGGATCTCTACAACCAGATCCTGTCTAACCTTGGAAAGTTAGGAAGCTCAGCTCTGGCAAATGTTTGGGTGGGAGACCATCAAAAACCAGGTGCTATATGTTAGAGAAATGAATTGACAAAACTATCTTCCTTGCCTACAAAAGCCCTATGAAATGCTAAATCAACAGACAGCGTAAAGATATATACACACTTGCATCCTTGAAAGGAAGTTAAGAAGGTTTTGAGCTTGTATGACCAAAAACAGAAACATTTCCTTGTCATCCTTAACTCAGCCTTACAGACCTGTCCTGCCACTGCCTTAGCACTTACCACAACTAACTGTGAGATGTAATCTTGCTCAAAGGGTGCACATCCTAGGTTCTGTGGCACTGAGAACAATTGCCCTAACTGTTATCTGGGCTTGGGTGGCACAGAAACACGGAATGACAGTCTCTCCCCGCTGCCCAGGTGTATTATGGCATCTACCTTTCCCCCTGTTGCTCACTTTGACAACAACCAGAGTGACAAGGGGTCCTGGGAGGAGAGGAGGGAGAGGAAGGGGCATTGTCATCTCCCCCTTGGCATCCCATTGTTCTGGCTGTTATCAGAGTGAACAATAGGAAAAAAGGTAGGTACCATGTTGTGGCCAGGGACCACTAAGACAGGGGAAAGGGGGACATGTCAGGTGGCTGCCCAGTAATGCCAAACTGTGTTCAATGCCACTGGGTATTGGAGGTACCTTCCCACCTCTATGGCAGCTGAGGGAGTCTCCATACAGATGCCAGATCAGGCCCACATTCTGGATCAGTTTGGATTTGAGCCATAATGACATATCCGTCTTCATGCTCCTGAGAGCAATCAGCCTTTGTGATCGGCATTCTCAGTTAATATATAGCTGTCTTCCTGTTGGTTTGTGTTTTTGAAATAGCAAATGGGTTAAAAAACAAATGTAAGACCTAGTTATGTGGACCATATCTTTCTTTTCGAAAGAGATATACAGTACTAGAAAAAAGTTTATAGGTTTGGATTTTCTCTCCTATCTCATGAATAAATATGAGAGAAAGTTAGTTTTATTTGTCTATAAACATAATTGTGAAATTCTTTTACAAGATTTTTTTGCTTTTTAAAAACTTAAACAGTTAGTGAATTGTTTAAATATTTCAAAGGCTGTATTTAAGCAGGTATTTTTCCACTATGTATTACAGGTGATATTTGAAGCAGTTTCATTGAAAGGGCATCCTGGGTACATAGCTGTGGATGAAGTCAGAGTACTTGCCCATCCTTGCAGTAAGTATCCTTCCTTCCTTCCTTCCTTCCTTCCTTCCTTCCTTCCTGTTTTTTTAACCATAGTGATGTTTTATAGTAGGCCTTGCCTAAAGAGGAGTAATTCCCCCAATTCAATCAGTTCTGAACATCTTCTTTTATTCCTTTCAAATGCTTACAGAGTGGAAGCAATCAGCCTTGAATAAATACATAATTTTTCAAGTTTTGCAACTGGCAGAATTACTATGTATGTGTAACTAGTGCCAAATTCCAGTCCATTATTAAGTGAATATAAAGCCCAGATTGTTAGTTCTGATTTAGTCCATTGAAGGAGAAGAATTACAGGGTTCTGATGGTACCCTATAGAACTAACTTAAAGGGAGAATTTTGGGGGAAACCTTCATGTATACAGCTAAGCAAATTAGTGCAGCATTCATTTTGGAAGAAATGCCTCAGAGTGCCGTTTCTTTAAAGGAAAGCAAATCTTTTCAGTGCCTCTATGAAAGAATTTAAAGAATATGTATCACTTTCAAAGCGTGCAATTTATACTGTGAAGTAGAAAAGGAAGTCAAAAATTGTTTCACTACATTCCCTAGGCTGTGGAATTTTCTTTCAGTAATTTTGTCCCAATTTATTTTAAAGCATTCAGTTAGGAATATGTACCCAATTGTCATGAGAAATGTCTAATTCATCATACTGAGATAATACATTTGCACAGTACAGAACTCAAAAACATAGCCAAGTTAGTCTGGATCAGATTTGTTTAAAATTCTAAGAAGAAAGATCTGCTATAATTTTTCATTCTGTTGGGATAAACTGGTCATCTGGAAGGTCTCACTGAACCAGTAGCTGCTTGAATCCAGTATGGTGAGACAGAACTAGGTCTGCTTAGAGATTTATAACCTCCCAACACCATCACTGTAAAACAAAAAACTTAGTGTATAATCCATCTCTGTACTATCTGTAAAAGTACTGATAATGGTGATGATAACATAGTGTACCACATGTAGATTTCAGCATGGCCTTTGGTAGACCCATTGCAGCATGGTTTGATGGAGTACCCTATTCAGACTTCCCCAGAAGTACTTCATAAAAACAATTACCACAAATTGTAATTGTGGAGCTAGTTTTGTCATTGTGGGACTAGTTGACCTAGTTTTGATATTCATGCTTATGAGAGTAGTATCAACTTTGAATTTATTTCCATATTTCATATCTCTTCAGTATCACATTTTTATTTCAATATAAAATTGTTGTGGTCTGCTAGAATCATTTGAAAGGGAAAGTATTTGATCTACCTGTCAGGGCTTTAGTTTAAAACATGGGCAGGATAGAGTGAAAGGAAGCCTTCTCCCATTTCCACAGACAGCAACTTTTCAAATCTATTCCAGGAAGGGACAGAAACCACGATTGCTCTCTGACTAAACAAAAGTCCCCACTCAGATCAGGTAAACTGGCTTATCTTTTCAGTCACTAGGTTGGACTCTTCATTTTGGAACCAAATCTGAAACAGAACAAAAAAAATCTGATTCTATCCCACCTTTCTTCTGAGGAGCTCGAAGTAACACATTTTTCTTTCTTTCTTACAGTATATATTAATGTTTGAAAATAGTGATCCATTACTTTAGTATACACTTATTCTCTTTGGGGCCACATGCAATTATCAGCTGCTTCCTTTGGCACGACTGAAATGAAAGGGTTCCACATATTTTTCCTCTTCATCCCAGTTGATTATCTGGATTACAGGAGAAGAATACAAAACCTTTATTTCTGAGAATGCTGTTTTTCCATCACGAATAGCAATTCCAGTAGAGATCACTGGGTGATAGGTGCAAATTATAACTGATTTGTACTTGCAAGTTAGAGTGATTAATTTCAAAAGTATTATTGCAACTGGGTGATTTTTTTTATTTTAAAAAGTAGCATATTTTTCAGTGTGACAAAAAAAAACATGGAGACATTAAACTTGGGGCACCTGGTGTCTTGAGACAGCTGACTATGTAACTTCTAGACATTTTCTGGCAGCTTTTTAAAACTTCGAATTAGGCTTTTATGGTGACTGGCAGTAATCTCCAGCATTCATGTTTTTCTTGAACTTGATTGGCTACAATTAACAACATAGTTTTACTTATTGCTAGCTTTGTAAGACTTGTTATAACAACTTCTGGACCAACGGATAATTATCCTGTTTCACCATTCATCTTGTTGGATACCTTGAGAATGACCTGGACAGAATTAACTGCATGACAGCTATTGTACACCAACTACCTGTTCCCTAGGTTCCTAGCTGACTGTACAAATATTTGCATATGAAGGAGAAATGACTTCCCCAAGAAGGTTATTGAATGGAACATTTTGTCCGTAAAGTGATCTATTACCCTTTACATCAAAATATACAGGTGGTGAACTTAGAGCCTTCGTTTGGTTTAGTTTCTGGTATGTCAGAATTTGAATCTGTGAAAAAGTGGCTTTATTGAAAGAAATTATTTTTTGCCCACATTCTTGTAGGCCAGAATAGGGTTGTATGTTGTATGTATGACTATGTGTTAAATGTGTTTATGTGTTAAATGTTTTGATACGGCCAATAGGCCAATCAATAAAACGTATCTATCTTGTAGGCCAGAATCTGAACAGGATGGGGGCCCTGAGTTCAGCACTTGTGTCATGTAATAGAGAAGGTGACAGATCACTTTATATTGCACAGGTGCTGGCAAAACTTTTAATAATAAATAATAATTTATTTATAACCCACCCTATCTTCCTGAGGGGCCTCAGGGTAGTTATTTAACTAACATCCCTGGTTAAATATTATTTTCCCATACTAGGGCTCAAAACCTACATTTCACAGATTCCTTTCAGAAAGCTTGTGATTGGGAAGTCTTTAACTCCTATGTGCCATGGATGTAACTCTAGCATTGTCTGCTAATTTTTTCTAGATGAAAATCCATGAAATCAACACACAGAATTCTGAAGAAATGCATTTTTTCTAAATTAGCCAATGTGAAGTATTTCCTTCCAGTTCAGTGTATATTTTAGGCATGTATATCAAACTTCAGATTATTCCCAAATACTGGAGATGGTCTATAAGTTTTAAAAGCTTGATCTACTCTGGTTCAGTGGGTAACCATTTCACAATGGAAATTACAAGCCAGTAGGTTTTTGGATAAAATGGGAATTATGCAGGATAGTCCACTATCTAATCCTGATTGGTAGATTGCATTAGTATTAGAATAAAAATAAACAAAATGAAGTCATGTCAGTTTTCCATTTCTCAAGGGATTTGAATTCCAGTTGCAGATCATCTTTGCAGGTTTTTCCTTTCTGAACAGCTGCAGGTCTGTCTCGCCTAAACTAAATTTCAGTTTATTTTTCCTCATACAGTTGCCTGCCATAAACAAATATTGATTCAAGATATTAAGAGCCTAAAAGATAGGGTAAAACTAACTTTTTATATGTTGAAAACTTTTCTGACTTTTAGACTTTTAGGTATGATAACTGTTCAAGTATTTTTAATACAACTGGGAGGTATCAACTTGATCATGAAGTAATCATCCCTCTTTTATTATATTATATTGTTTTATAATATAATTTCATTTTATTTGTCTCTTAGTAACTAGAAAGGACTTATTGTAAATTAAATAAGTTCGTTTTTATGCACTGTAGTTGGAGGGGATGGAAAGTACTGACTGTCAAAACCATTTGCTATAAATATTCTGCAGAAGCAGTATTGTTTTGTACCAAAGCCTCTCCATTTCAGGTGACAGATCTATGACCCTGTCTCAGCCAGCAGCTAGTACATCAATAAATTGTGACATGGATAAACTACTGACCAGCTAAAATGGAAGGCATAGCACTATTTAACTGCATTGGCTGGTATTTCAGGAAAGTAGTAAATGCTACTCACCAGATAATAGCTAACCTCTTGTAGGTTTGTCTAAGAAAGATAAAAATGTTGGGAAACTATTTTAATTTTGTTTTTGTTTTTTAAAAAGGGCCTAAGAAAAGCATTTAATCCTTCTCTCCCCACATTGTAACTCCTATCTGAATCCATAACTGTATTAATCATGGGATATCTTAATTGTGTATCTCTCATGTCACATATCTATGCACTAAATTTGGGCTGCGGAATAAGAAATGTGTGATCTATAATTCATTGCCAAATGGGCTTTTAAAAAACAAAGTGCAAAAAAAATTTGGAAAAATATTGGAAAAATATTCTATGGTACTATCTTTGAGAAGCCAGATATGGCCAACATTTTGCATTGTCTACCTATAGTTTATAAACATACCAGGAAACCAAACACTTCACAAAAGGCAGCATTAGCTCAAAGAAGCATTGTTCTGTGAAAATATGTCATTGAATGGAATAGTTTGGCCTATGTTGTAGGATTTGCTCTAGTTAACATATACATTTAGTTTACAAACAAAATGGATTGGCAAATACAGTAGACTCATGGGACCCCCTGGAGTTTGTGTCGGGACACAGACGCCTTAATTGTCCAGGCTCAGAATTAGTTCCAAGATAGAGTTTATTAAACAAAAGGAAAGGACTCAGAAATACTTAACTCAGTGTCTCTGGTCAAAACACAAAGGCAGAAACCAGTCCTGGTTCAAAAAAGGTAACTGAAGCAATAATCCGGAMAATATCRGGAGAAAAGAACCGGATTAAAACAAAGCACTCTGAAAGTCCCACAAAATAGCACAGCAAGTAAACAGTTAACAAACAAAAGAGCCACAGGGAAGAAAGCATAGTCAAACGAAGTCCGAGGTCATAGCAAGCCGAATCCAAGGTAGCGAAGTTCCAAAGTCRACATAGGCAGCYWTGTAGTCAAACCGGACCGAAGTCAAGGAAGGGGAAATCAGCACTCATGGGAATCCAAGCCAAGTCGAAAGCACACACAATCGGAAGCAGTAACTTGTAGATCCAGGACCCAATGCCAACACGAAACAGGCAGCGACAAAGACRCAATGCACGAACATAAACCAACACTTTGCCTTCTGCAAAGATTCCCCATTTCAGAGCCTACTTTTATCTTACACATCATCATCAGAAGATGAGCTGACCTCCACCCCGTCGTTATCCCTTGCAGCTGCTCTTGATTCCACACGTGAACTCCTACTCCCATCTCTCCAACTTCTCCATCTTCTGTCAAGACTTAGGRCCCCCTAAGACTCAGCCGTATTCCCCGATTGCCAGTCCTCATTACCAGAGAACTCTACAAATGTATCACTGGACGTCGGCTCCGCACATACAGCCTGTACCTCTTTTACCTTATTCCAGTCCCATGTGTCCTCTTCATCTTCATCACTCTCTAACCCATCACCCCCAGAGAAACCCAAGAATGATTCCTCATCTGTGGGAGTATATCCCGGATCCTCTTCCTCTGTTGCTCCTCATCAGACTCCTGCTCTCGAGTAGCCCTTTTCCTTCCCTTAGACCAATCCATGATGTTTCCTTCCTTCATCTCCAGAGAAACCCAAGAATGATTCCTCATCTGTGGGAGCATTAAATATATCCCGGATTCTCTTCCTTTGTTGCTCCTCATCAGACTCCTGCTCCCGAGTAACCCATTTTCCCCTCCTAGTGCCCAAGCTACTGTTAGCATTGCTACTCACAGGCTCTACTACAACAGTTTGGTTCCAGGACTTACCCATGTCCTGTGAATGCTGGAATCTTTGAATGCTGGAATCCCATTACATACAATAGCATAGTATAATGGTGTCCTTTATATTGAATGTCAAAATCAAAGTTTGATGTCTGGATCCCCCCCCCCCCCCATGTTTTCAAGCCATAGAAATACGACTGGAATTGTCCCTGTCCAGGTGTGTGAGATCATTCATGGTCCTCCTTAAGAGGATACTGCCTATTTTTCAGTTGTTTTTAAGACACTTTTCTTAGGTATTATTTGTAAAGACAAAATCCAATTATCTTAGAATAAATGTTTTGCCCCCCAAGCAATATATCCTGTGAAACCTTTTGTAGCACATACCTGATACTTATCAGCTGAAACAGAGTAAATTTTATCTCCATTTGTCACTTCTTATTTAATAAAATTATAAATTTGATTGAACATTATAGAGAACTGTCAGTTTTATTTTCTGTTTCTCTAAAACTTATAGTAAGAGTTGACAGGACAAAGACAGTATCAGTCTGAGTGCATATCCTTAGTAAGCAGTCACTGCTCAGCATCCAAGCCCACCTCATTTCACGTCCAGTTGTAGTGTACTCCTAGAGCTGGATGATGAGTTTTTGTAGCAGTGCATCTCCTTTAAAGCCATTTTCCACATGGCTTTAAATCCTCATTTTCTATATGTGTAGACTCTTGGCTTCAAATTGTCACTTTTTATGTGCAGAGATGATAGTGTAGGTGAGGCTAGAATACTCCCTCTCCACACATGCTTCATGAATGACTGAGTGGGTCTTATACAGACTTAAGCCTATATATACTTTCTTCCATGTAACCTCCACTGAATACAATAGGTTTTATCTCTAAGTGTATTTCAGTATGATTGGATTTAATCAATTGCAGATGGCTGCCACTTCTATTTAGAGTGACAGAGTCAAACTAGAGCTAGAGTGACAGAGTCAAACTATTTTTAAAAGCAAAACAAAAGGGGAGCCTAGCAATGATTTTCTAAGCCATTTATTCTATAGGAAGCCTGGCATACTCTTCAAGAATAGCTGACAGTCACATCATACCTCTGCCATTATTATGTACTGTGGTGCTCTACCCAGGTATTTTTTTATTTTTGTTAGGAAAAGCTCCTCACTTCCTGCGGCTTCAAAATGTGGAGGTTAATGTTGGACAGAATGCAACATTTCAATGTATTGCTGGAGGAAAGTGGTCTCAACACGACAAACTGTGGCTACAGGTATAGTAGACATGAAGCCTTTGTTATTTTTCAGATGTTCCAAAACAGAAATATGGCTTCATACTTCCAAGGGGAATGTCTGTCATTTTCAATAAGCAGCAGGATATTTGGCACTTGTGTTGCTAGATATTTTCTTGGACAACAAAATAATGGAAGTCTCCTTCATTCTTTGAACAATAATATGAATTTCTTAGATTTGAACAATGAAAATGTTGTCAGCTGAAGATTATTATAGATCACATAACTATTAGGATTAGTACATCTGATTGTGTGTGTATATGTCCCTGCAAATCACCTGTGAACATACAACAGTCTTATGAAATTCATAAGATTTTATGAGGCAAGACTCAATAATGGTTTTGCTAGTTCCGTCTTCTAAAATGTAGCCTACAGCATCGGATATTTTTTGCTGGTTTATTGCCCATGTACTGATCAGGGTTGACCATCCTTAGCTTTTAAAATACCAGATAAGATCTAGTGTCTTTAGGGCAGTGGTGTCAAACTTGTAGCCCTCCAGGTGTGTTGGATTTCAGCTCTCAGAATTCCTGGCTACTGGACAAGCTGGCTAGAGTTTCTAGGGGTTAGAGGCCCAAACATCTGGAGGGCCACAAGTCTGACATCTTTACATTAGAGTATTTTACATACTTCTATTTTTTTAAAAAAAAAATGCTCCAGATAACATATCAGAGGTTGTAGAATTGGAATTCTGAATCAGGGAAAAGAGATACAAAGATAGCACTGGACGCTGATACATAATAAGTGTGAACAGTGTCAGTATGGGTCATGTGGAAAGGGAAAGAAAAATATATAGAATGAATCTTCCTTTTTACCTATATATATATATATATATATATATATATATATGCAAAAAAACCTTTTTAGATTTAAATTTCAAGAGACTTGCATATATATAGTGAAAGATAGGGGGGAAAGAAGGCAAATCACATATCCAACACCTGCTGAGTTTATCCTTAAGTGGCCCTGATGGGGGAAAGAAAAGAGGAAGGAAGACTCAGCTTACACAAAGGCCATATAAAAAGCACAAGCCCAGATGCTTCCCTGGTTCTCAATACATTTTCTGCCCTTTTAGCAAAGTAGCCTGGAAAGGAAGATACAATCTTTTCTCTCTCTCTCTCACTCCTCCCCCCCCCCCCCCCTTCAAATTGTTTCTGAATAATGGCAACCTTCAAAGAATGTATTAGAAGGTTTGCAAGAATTGTTCATAGGGAGGTTGCCTATGCCTTTTTCTGAGACTAATAGAGTGTGAATTGATCAAGGCCACTGAGTTTCCATGTCCAGAAGACATAGTCCACTATTTCACACTCACTGAATTATTTTATTTATGCAAGTAAAAAACTAAATAGCAAATCATTTATCTGATACAGTAACACACAAGATTTTGTTTTATTGTGTTGTTTTTTCATACAAATACTTCAGGACAGGGATTACATGACAGAATCACTGTCTAAGATATTCATTGCATTAAACAAAACAAAAAATCAAAGTGAGACTGTTTGCTTTTAAGAAATATGTTCTTAGGAACTAGGCTAAAAAAAAAAAAGACCCAAATTCTGAACATGTGTGCAAACAATTATGAAAAAGCTGAACTCACTAATATGGTATGTTTTATATGAATTGCTTTCACTTACTTGAGTGCAGGAACAATTCATTAAAATTAAATATACATTTAAAGGAGGAGGAATATTAGATCATATTTCAACAAAACTTTATTTAGATGAAAAATATGACCAGAATTCCCTTCTGAATGTATGTTGGTGAGAAATAGCATTGAACAGTTGACACCAATGCGAAATACAATGGAGCAGAACAGGACCCAATGTGCAATGACACCAATGTTCATTGGGACCAATGCAGAATAGGACTGATATGCAACATGACCCAATGCCCAATGGAGCTTGATGCACAATAGGACCAGTAGAACAAAAGCAATGTGCCCTTAGACACTCTTGTCAGTATTTTGTTACACAATTTTGAAACTCACAAACAGGATTCCTTAGTTACATAACATGTTCTGGACAGAGAATTCCAGCCTATATATATATTGTGTAATAATGAAGATTTATAAACCTAAAGCATGATAGAATTATTTCCCATGACCCAATTTTATTTACTTTGTCCTCCCTCCTCTGTTTATCTTGCAGCAATGGAATGGCAGAGACACAGCTTTAATGGTCACCAGAGTAGTGAACCACAGACGTTTTTCTGCAACTGTCAGTGTAGCTGACACTTCCCAAAGGAGCATCAGTAAATATCGATGTGTCATCCGCTCAGATGGTGGATCAGGAGTTTCAAACTATGCAGAATTAATAGTGAAAGGTATGTGACAGCCTATAAAGTATGTATATATGTTGGGATCTTTTTAAATCTACACAAAACATAAAATATCATAGCCTTCTAAACTGACAGCAAACAGCATCTCCAAAATGACTAAAAAAAAGACCTAACTGACATCCATTATTTTTTTCTTATTGGGGTCTCTCTTTGTCCTTGAATTTTATCCTCTAAATGTGATTAGAAAGTTATTTTATTAATTAGTACTTTAAGGGCTATCTTATTAATATACTGGTATATAATGTATTAGCTTTGGACACTATAGTATTCATAATATTAAGCCTTACTTTTGGTACAGAATAATTAGGCATTGAAATCAATGTTGATTGAATAAGAAACACAAAACATTTACATCGTTTTAAGACACAGGCTACAGTTTTGCTATTTGCTGAATGACTGGGAGAACTGAGATCTCCTATGCCATCATCACCTCTTTTCAAACTGCTGACAGATAAATGGATTTCCACTAGATTGTTTGTGCTGCTCTATACCTCCATGAAACCAATAGAACACTATTGTTATATATTGTTCTCTGGAATCCAGAAAGGAGAGACTAAACAAGTTTATATTTTCAGAGTAGTAGTAGCTTCATCTCAGGTTAAAGTGATTCTTAGGGTGCTGTTTTTGACCTGGAAAGAGGTCCTATTGCTGTAGGCTTCTCTGTTGTTGATGCTTGCATTGCAGGCAAAGGCAAGGCAGTGTACCCTTTATTCCTGTAATAAAAATTGATTTGATTGCTTCACTGATTCTATAAAGGGCAAGGAATGAGGAATATTTGTAACAGGGAGTTGTTAAATATTAGTTCTATTATTGTTGGCGGTACCAACTTCTTGTGATGAGAGTTGCAGTTCAACAGCATACAGAGAACTATGTTGAGAAGGGTCTCATTTCTAAAAACACATTTAAGAATACTTAATAGAGGAGCCCCCCCCCCCCCCCAAGTGAAGTCATTCATTGTTAGCCTTTCTCCCACAATGGGATCATCTTTACTCTCTCAGTACTTTTCCACATCTCAGTTTGGCAGAAAGAGTGTGGGAAGTGAAAGGCACTTGGTTACAACTATCACCAGGTAAGCTTTAAGTGGCATTGCATTTTTAGATTTGACTGAACCCATCCAGGAAAACATTAACAATTTTGTAATATATAAAATGGATGAATATTCACTATTGTAAGAGGCAAAAAGAGCAAAATCAAATTATAGGTAGTGGGGGCAAAGCACTGGCCACTGTTTAGAGGTGTTACTAAGCTGTCAGGGTGTAATGTGAACTGTAAATAATCATGAATTCAGCAGACAAGATGCTGATCAATTCAGTGCAGGAAATAAACAAAATGAAAGGTGGAGAAGTCATCATGGTAGATAGTATAAGTAACTTAGATAAAAATTATGGGTGATGTAAGTATTGCTTTGCCAAGACTTTTTTAAAAATATCCTGCTCAGTGATCACATATATTTATGAGTGTTTGGTAGATGGTTACTCTAATGAAGTGCTCATATCCCTTTGGAATTGGATGGATCAGTGGTTATGCAAAGGTCTGACTAATTTGGTAATGGTAGTATCAAATTGGCAATGACATGCATGCAAGGAAGCTGAAATGAAAGGAAATTGGAACTGTTTAATTTCAAAGAGCTGTTTATTGCATTGCCTTAATGTGTTGGGATAGCCATTATGTTAATCTGTAGTTGAAGGCTAGTTGAATTGATTGACTGAATTGACTACCTAAACTTAAATCAAGGCAAAGTGAAGGACTTGACTACAGATATGTTGGTGCAAGTGAGGGAAAAAAACCCACTTTCATGTTTGATTGAAGTCCAACATCTTATCTGCAAAAGTAGGTAATATTTCAAAAGAGAAATATATGCTTTGGAGAACAAGTGTTGGCAGACAAATGCAGATGGTTCATAGATGTTGCAAAAACTTCAATACATATCCAATAAATTGCTACAACCAAACTCCAAAAAAGCATTAGTTGGACAACTAGGCAATATCCATCAAAAAAATCTGGCAATACAGAATTCACCATTCTTTAAACCTATCTAGAAGAATGCAAAGGTTCATTCTCTTCTCTTTTTTCTCTCTCAAAAGAACGTTACAGATAAGAAACTGGTGTTGCAGGTCGGCAGTATGAGAATCTATGTCAACATAAAAATTGTAGGGTAAAATGTATGTCTGTGAGATTGACTCCTGCAATTCTTTGTATTGTGTCTATGTTTGTGTATCTGTATATGAGTGCCTGCATGCATATTTTATTAAGTTTATCGGCAGCCTTCTACATTCACTGAAGAGCACAGGATCTCAGCAAAAGTTAAAAACTGCAAAGAAAAGCACCTTTTTACCCAAAAGAACACCTCTCCAGGAATGTTTAGGTCTTCCAGCACAATCCCATGGTCAACTTCTGCTGAACATGGGATCATATTGGAGGACATAAGATTCCTAGAGAGGTGTTCTCTCTAGAAACCTCTAGCATGACAGTAGGACATTGACCATTGAGTTACACTGGAGTACATAGAGACAAATTTTTATTTCAAATCCAGAAATAATCTAATACCAATGTGGCAGGATGACTGTGGTGTCTTCTTCCTGAAATGAGGAAATTTAACAAAATCTAGAGATAAATTTAACAGCTGCTGAGATTCAGAGAAACATTAGAAGATGGTATCTGATCACTAAAACACACCCCTGTTGTGGATAATAGAAGTTTCATGAAAACCTTTCACTGTGACCCAATGACCCCCAATTAAAAGAAGGTAAGTTGTCAGATCTGACTATTTAGTGTAGGTATAGATATAGATATCTCCCAATTGTCCACATTATCACCTGGGCTACAAGGGAAACAGAATATGTTCTGCCGGCATTGCTTTCCATACCAGTTAAATTCCATGAATGAGGATTTCTCCCCTGACCTGAGTGATATAACACTGTATTTTCTAATTTTAAAATAGTGGAATATGAATGTTTGGTCTGCTGTGAGAATTATTGTGGATTTCATTGATGTTTAACGAGGTTGCTCCATTTCACCTCTCTGCACAGATGGATGTGATCTTCTTGTGTAATTTGTCTACAAATACTATATTATTTCTGAAATAATTCACACAACTATGCAGGGTACCTCTGCTATTAACCAAGAAGAGAAGTAGACATTTTCCATTGCTCTCTTTTCCCTGCTGTAGGAAATATTGTAGCCTGGCACTCAGGTGTCCTGCTATTAAAGATTGGTAAATGTGGTGATAAGAGGTGTGAAAAGTTGTTTTTATTGACTCATACAGATTATTATTTGCATTATGCTGAAAAGAACACTACCATAACCTCCTTAACCACAGTTCCAATGTGACTGAAAAGGTCCTCTCACAAATTCTGTAGCAACAAACAAGGGATGAGCTTGCAGTACTGCTTAGTTTGGAGAAAGTCAGCAAACTCATCAGCCAATTAAAAAAAATAAAGCCAGTAATCTGATGGGATCCCTGTTGATATCTTTAAAGAGGGTGGACGTGAGCTGATATAATAACTCCAGCAGTTCATTGGAAAAGTGTGACCGAGAAGAACCCAGAACACTTCAAGGATGCCACTATCATCACCCTTTTCAAAAACAGGGAAAGAACAGACTGTGGAAACTATCGAGGTATCTCTCTTTTAACCTCCACTGGAAAAATCTTTGCAAGGATCTTTGCAAAGATCCTATCTCAGAAGACATCCTCCCTGAATGGCTTTTGCCCCTTCAGAGGAACAGTGGATATGATCTGCACTACACAACAGCTTGAAGAGCTTGAAAAAAAATGCAGGGAACAAAAACTAACTTTGTACATGTCATTCATTGACCTTGCAAAGGTATTCAACACCGTGAATTGCAATGCTCTCTGGACCATTCTCTTAAAAATTGGATGCTCTGATAAATTTGTGAACATCCTGCAGCTCCTCAATGATGACGTGATGGCAACAGTCTTGGACAGCAATGGCTCCCACAGTAACCCATTTAAGGTGAAATCAGGTGTGAAACAGGGGTATGTCATTGCCCCAACCGTCTTAATTGCTATGATTCTGCACCTTGTTGATGGGAAGTTTCCCACTGATGTTGAAATTACCTATCAGATAGATGGTAAGCTATTTAACCTCCGCAAACTGAAAGCCAAAACCAAGGTCACAACAACGTCACCAGTAGGCTGATCATAATGTAGTTCATGCTCATTCAGAGTAAGACCTCCAAGCCACTTTAAACACAGAAGCATATGAAATGCAGAAGCATACGAAAAGCTTGGCCTCTCACTGAACATCGAGAAAACCAAAGTGCTTTGCCAGCAGGTACCAGCCAATCCCTCTACAATGCTGAAAATTCAGCTTAATGGAGTAATGTTAGAAAACATTGACCATTTCTGCCACCTTGGCAGCCACCTCTCCACAAAAGTCAACATTGACACTGAAATATAACACCACCTTACTTACTTACTTACTTAGGCGATCCCTCGTTGGACGAGTAAGATGGTCTTCCATTATGGATTTCCTTGTGGGTCCGTATGTGGCTGTGGAGCCCTATTCTTGCTCTGCATCTTCTTCCGCAGTGGGGCATTGGTTTCCAGGTGGAAGGCGGTCCCGGTCGGGGTTGGCTTGACGCGCCTTCCTCCTGGCACGTTTCTCTCTTTCCCCCTCCACTCGTGCCTCCTCAAATTCTGCAGCACTGCTGGTCACAGCTGTCCTCCAGCTGGAGCGCTCAAGGGCCAGGGCTTCCCAGTTCTCAGTGTCTATGCCAGAGTTTTTAAGGTTGGCTTTGAGCCCATCTTTAAATCTCTTTTCCTGTCCACCAACGTTCCGTTTTCCGTTCTTAAGTTCGGAGTAGAGAACTGCTTTGGGAGACGGTGGTCGGGCATCCGGACAACGTGGCCCGTCCAGCGGAGTTGATGGTGGAGGACCATCACTTCGATGCTGGTGGTCTTTGTTTCTTCCAGCACGCTGACGTTTGTCCACCTGTCTTCCCAAGAGATTTGCAGGATTTTC